CATACATTAAATATATTTCTGACATATTTTGTTTATTTTTATGTATATATCTGCATATTTTATGTTTATAAACATCCGCAGTCTAGTTATTATAATTAGTTTAAAATTTTATAATATAGAGCAGCTGTATAATGTATATATATGGTATAAAAATGTCGTCAATTATAAATAATGCAATTAACGTTTATTTTCCCGGGATTCTGATATTATTAGATTGTCCACCGTATTTATTGATCTTTGGTTTCATGTATTTCAAAAATAAAAAATATTAATAAAAATTAATAATAAAAATATTTAATTTATTTAAAATATTCTCAATGAAGTGGTCAAATCAATGAATTGTGAGTGTCAGTATAGAATTGTCGATTAATTGTTTTCTATAATTTTTGTAAATAACTTTTACAAATATTTTTTGCTTGTTCTAAATCGTTATCATCCATGAATATATCACTCTGAAATGAAATTTAAATTAACAAATTGCGGACTTCAATATACAATTTATTATTTTCCACAATTTCTGCATAAATAACATTTATAAACATTTTTCACATATTCTTAACTCGAAATGCATAATTCTGACCGATTAATCGGTTTCTTAATAATCTGGATCAATTACTACATGGTACATAAAATCAGTAAGTGTCCTAATACTTATGAATTGTTAAACTTGTGTACCGCTATCTCAATTTTATGCATATCATATACCTACATAAATATTTTAGGAACACATTTTTATCACCTATGCAATGAAAAGATCCAAAAATCGAATTTTAAGCTTTCTAAACTAGAATACCCTCATAATCTTCGATCAATCAAGATTCTATATGCCAACTGTTACCATCAACTCTCTTGATCCGAGTATGAATCGCGATAAAAAATTTCTCTCACTGTGTTTTCAATATTTTCGACTATGTTCGTATCTGTATATATGTATATGTGCATTTGCTCTATGTACACATGAGGCAGAGAGAGCAAAGTGTAAGTGTGGCGGTTTTAATATATAATTGCTAGAATTATAGTGCAGGTATCACTCTGCTCCAGAACCTGCTTCCAACTATGTACTTTACAGAATAGACTTGTTCGAACAGCGGCACGAAGGCGTTCAGCCTATTTCATGACAGTGTTATCATGCCAACTGGCTGACATAATTAAATAGAGATCCGACACAAGTTAAGGTTGCTACAAGTCACAATCTGACATCGACAAAGACGATCCTATTTTATATGAACTGCGGTACCTTTCTCTGCCGCTTGAACCAGCGAGTGATTGTTTATATAATATAAAGATAATATTTATGTACAAGTTTTCTATAAAATCAGATACTGAAATGAATAGCGATGGATACAATATTATCTAGTTGAATGTATGTGTCAATATTTATAGTAATTCCGATTATATTCTCACGTAAGTTGTCGTACGCAAGAGAGAGGAAGATTCTGAACAATTGTTTGGGAGATTATTTTAGCGAAAAATAACTTTTTCAATAAAAAATATATTGTGCTAATTAATAATTAAATTGAGAATTTAGATATACTGTGTGAACACAAATATTTTTAGTTTTGTAGGTTTATATAAATTTTCTATTTATAATAATTAAAATAATTTTCTTAATTACTTCACGATAGAAATCCAAGTTTAATTTCAATTATTTGTTTATTTATAATAACGCAATTATTTTTTGAGCTAACAATTCTATTCTTGGAAGATAAATGCAATTTTATATTTTGATACTTCAATATTCTGAAAGTATAAAATTAAATCACAAATGTCGATTTCTAGTATTTATCTATTATATAATGACTTTACATGTAATACAATTCAATAGAACTTTAGAAAAATTAAGATTGGATTTCTTAATTTAGATCTTATTAGTCTGCTATTTACGTGCGTTTATTTATAATCCCGTCTATATTATATAATATCTAATGTATTATACTAATAATAAAGTTTCAAAATAATTATAGAATTATAAGCAATTATAATCCTCTAAAACGTTTTATCGCAATGTTAATAAGATCACAAACCTCGAATATTACAAACATTGCATTAGTAGTTTTATAAATTTCATGTAACAAATATTACATTGATACTGATATTTTCATTGAATGTATAAGTTTATTACGATATCGATAAAATTGTAATTTATTAACTAAACATACATTAAGAACAGAATCTTCATATATAAAATCATCCGTTATAATCTCCCAAAAATTTGTACATCCTCTTTGAAACGCCCTATATAGAGCGAAATAAACTATTTTTGCAATTATCATAGAAAAACAGTGTATGTTTCATTTTGTGTGCATAAAGTATAGAAATTCGTTCAATTTCGAAATAGTACATATATTCAAACAAAGTAAAATTATAAAAATGGTTAATCATGAATAAGTGATTCATTAAAGATATTCTGTTGTCAAATCAAAATTTATGTAATATGGTACATATACATACAGTATCTTTAATACATCACTTGGCACAGATTTTAACATTTGTACCGATAAATTAATTAGTAATAGCCCGTAATTATTTCTGTGTGATGATTACGAACGAAGGTAGATATTTACAGAAAGGCAGCCCCTCTTTCGATAATTTTTTAATATATTATCAGTGTCATCATCCTAGGTAGTGTCGTGAAGGTTTTAGTTGGAGGTCACTGTTTATTAAAAAGTTATTATGAAAAAACGTTTACTCAAAAGTACATAATTTCCTGGGTACCATTTATATTTAATAAAATGTATAAATGTAAATCGAATGCTCTTGTTTATCTTTCCTCTTTATCTTTACATACTGAAGACTATGCTATTGGTATTTCTTATAACTTCTACAGAACTAACCTTTTAAACTTTTTCAACAAAAAAAAGATAACTCGCGATCAGTACTGAACAGCTCGTTGTATTTAATTTCGTTACTACAAAATGACGTATGTTATGCAGTAAAGGTGTGGGCATGGAAGGGACTTCTTCCCAGCCCCTGCACTCTCACCCGAAAAAGATCTAAGCTAATCCAACCCCTATTTCAACTTAAACAGAAATGAATAGATACGGTAAATTTGGTTTTTACGGAATACGGTTTCACAATACAATTTAGGATGGTGATTTTGACAATATATTAAAAGATTATCGAAATCGAAGATAGCTCCCTTTTTATAAATATTTATCTAAACGAGTACAAACGCTTGCTTTTGTATTACAATAAAAACCACCAATATATGTTGCTCGAGTGATTGTACATGACTTACAATTTTCACATACTTTTGAACACTTGGCAATCGAATTTATAAAACAATAATTTAATATATTTCAGCACAAAAAGAAATGTTATGTAATCGTTTTTGTAAATAATACAGAAATACTTTGACGACATGTATTTATCAACAAAAGAGTAAAAGCAATATAAGAAAAAATTCCTTATATCAAATTGTACGACGTAAACATACTTCAAGCTAGTTGCATTTGAAACAAAATTTTTAAGAAACCCAATCATGATCTTACTTAAGTAATATTCTCATAATTATATGTGTAATGTTTGGGATTTATACAACTGATTCCAATAACAATAATAGTGCACTTCATCACAAACAGTTTTTCCTTTTTCTTATTTAATACTTTCTGTGAAATATTTAACGTGAGTATCTTGAAAGGGTGTAATGTGATTATAAAATTTAGTACAAGTACAAACAGTGATCTGAATTAACTTTTTCAATTTACTCCGTGGTTTTTGGACGTAATATTCATGCTTTGGTCGGGAACATATCATACAAGATAGTCATCAATTTCACTTTCTGTCAGCATTTTCTATTTTCGTTGAGATTACTTGAATACCAATCGATTGCACTTAAAGATTATATGCTACATATATGAACATGGTAATTCATCCTTATGTTCATAACACAGTATTGCTATAATCCATGGTACGTGAATATTGAGTAACTTATATCTCTTTTGGTTATATTTCTCCTTTCATTTTTATATGATGTGTGATTTGTGTATTATATGCATACGATAAAATATATTAATGGTATTACAACTGTACAATGATGAATAATATCTCTACTGTATCTTAAATTAAAATTACATACAGTTATTTCATAAACGTAGGTAAATGCATCCTACATGCTAACAATGCGTCAAAAATTCATGACATGATAACGATGCTCCTTTTAAAGCAGATAAAAAAAGATAGAAAAAAAAGGAAAGAAAAAGTTATAAAAGGACTAGAATGAAATACTGACTAGAAATCTCACATCTTAAAGAACTTCCAGAGAAGCAATTTAATATTCACTATAAAAGGGCATTTACTTTGTGCTAATAATAATTCCTTTTTTTTCTTTTTGCAATAGATGCACACAAATAAAATATGAAATTTTATTATTTTGGACTTTTAAGCTTAATATTGTTTGTATGTAGGATACACATTTGTCCCGTATCACTACAAATTCTCATTACCTAAAAGGCCATTTAAGATTTTTTCTCATTGCCTGGGAAGATACCAGTGCCATACTTTGGAAGCGCTAGATTTTTAAAATATACTTTTTCCCTTTTAGCTTTAATCTTCAGTTGTGCCTTTTCATATGAAATAATTGGAAAGTGTATTTATGAAAAAAGTCATCAGTAACTAAGAAATGCTAAAGTAAAAAGTATCTTACATATCTGCAGCATTACATAAAAGAATATAATTAATACTATTTTGATCAAATCTGCTAGAAGAAAAAGTATTGTGCTTTAAATCAAGTATCCACCAAATATATAAAATATCTTTTAATAAAAATCATTATCTGTGATATATTTATTGAAATATTTAAATATGTCACAAATAAATATTTTTAAAAGTACTATTGAGTATAAATTATAATTTAAATAAATTTATAATCAGTCAAAATAAGTTTATAAAAAGGAGAAATATAAATTATAACTGCTATATAGATCTTGCATTCGTAATTGTTTTTCTTAAGATAAGAATATTGAATATTTGATTTCATTAAGGTTTTGATTTCATTCATATAATGTACAATTATTTTATTAAGAAATATTTACCAATATTCATTAGTGGATACTCAGCTATATATAGTATGGTATTATATACTTTTTCACTTTTGGCAATAGCACTTCCAGACAGTGGCAGTAGGCACTTTGATGACAATAATAAGATAATAATGAATATAAAATGTTACAAGTTAATCCACCTTTGAGGCAGGTAAACCATTTCCAACAACCAGCTGCTCCTTGGGAAAGTCTAGAATTACGGTTGCATGAAAACCCATATTTGCAGAGGCAATCACATACTCGCAAAAGGAAAACCAGCTAAATGCTGTTAAGAAAAATATTATAAGTTTTACACAGTGCAACTAAATTTTTTATATGTAGCGAATTATATGTATATATCTCATAACTATGACTTATTTATATTTTGATGCATTACTAAAGATTTTGTAAATACTTATATCTAAATTTTGTATATAATATCAATATTTGTAATTATTAAATTTCTTTAAAATATGTTAATTTTCTTACCGAGATCATGACATAGTAACCTATGCTTTAGAAAGAAAACGATGAGACCAACAGTACTAACAAGACTAGTTACAAAAAGTGTCTGTTTGTATTGAAGACTTGGTGCATTTGGTGTTACAAGACGACCCAATCTCACTTCTGCTAGCATATATGTTAAAGAACTGATCATAAAGATAATGAAAATTTTTTCATGCACATCTGAAAGGTAGCATTTCTTGTTAAGTCAATTTTTAGATGATTATATACATAATTTATGACATGTTATTAATAAATTCTAGTATTTTATCTTTTACCCTTCAGTATACAAATAGTCTCTATTATATCTTATATTATTACTCACAATAATTTTCTCTGTTAGAAATATATGTGACTCCACATAGTGCTGCCACTTCTGCCATGCTTAACCAATAACATAGATTTAAAAGTCTAAATCCCATAATTTTGGAAGGTACATCTTCAACTGTTTTAAGTATTTTATAATAATATGAATAATATACAGTAGCAATAATTAAGCGAGGACCTATGTGTAGAGCTATGCTTATGCGCCACAAATATCGTTGAGGAGATATACCAGTGATAGCTGAGATCGATGGAAGTACATTATAAACCTAAAATAAAAAATAGATAAATTATGAGAGGTAATAAAATTTAATATACTCATCACAATCATAATAGGTATGTGAATTCCATACCTTGCAGTGTGTTTCATGGATATCATCTTGTTGAAAGATATATGCTGTAACAAAACAGACTAAAAGTGTGACCAGAGGTAAAGACACTGTTGCCAAACACAGTTTTTTAAATGATATTGCCATATATATGGAACTTTTACTGTTTCCCACATTGTTCAGTTCCATAGTGAAATTATCTAATATTTTGGCATTGACGCACAAAATAAAAAGTAAGTTTAAAAGGATGCAAGATCTGAATCAATCTATATTAAAATCATTTCTCCTTTCAATTTTCATTACAAAAATCAAAACGTTCTTTTAAAAGTTTCATAATATGCCTGTAAATAGAAAACAAATTTTACATTAATGAAACAGCATACCACAAAGAAGCATACTGAAGTGTAATCAATATTTTCAATACATACATGCAGATTATCATACATTACACAAAGCAAAGTTAACATTCCATTAACAATATTTAACAACTACTCTTAACACTATTATATCACATACAAATATATATTAATCATAACAAAATTTGCTTGTAATCACATTATTTATGCATTTTAATAAACGTTTCAAACAAATAAATTGCAGTAAGATTTATGAAATAAAACAAAAATAATTCTGGAAGACAATAAAAATCGTAATATGTCAGATTCTCTTTACAAATGTTACACACAAAATGATAAGTATATTTAGTTAATTACTCTATTTTCAGAATTGATTTCGCGGATAACCTACTTTTTCTATTTATAGCAAACAAAGGCACTGTCACGGGCCACGGATAACGCGTTGTTCGTGACATTTGCCTGGAGGCGATTTATTATATGTATGACTATGACACTCCTGCACGGAATCCGCAACAATGGTCAACTTTGTTCACGCGACCAATGATTTGATGAGTGATAGAAACTTCTTTGAATTTATTTGAAAGCTGTCAATAATTTTACCAATCTTTCTTTCCTCTTTCTTTTTTTCTCTACAGTGTATGAGGAGTTACTTCACTTAAATGATTATATCTGGTCTACACAATAATGCAGGTATATTATATATCCATTTTGACAGCGTACTTGTTAACTCATTTAGTGAGCACCTGTTAAGGTCCTATTCAAGTATTTACGATTTCTGGTTTGAAAAGCATGTATTCAAGTATATACATAAAGGATAAACAGCACATATAATGCACGATTAAATGAGATTTCAATGCTGCATTTGTGTCATTTATGTCACGTTTTTTAATCAATAACAATTTATTTGAGTCAAGATTCTGTCAATTGTGACTTGTTCATTCATATTCATTTATGTTTTTCATGCAGAAAATCAGAAGAATTTACCTTGTTCCGTATGTACAAACGTGTCGTCTGCTAGCCTGCGAATTTCTGTTCGAAAGGATGCCATCTATGATTTTTATAAATGCTTCTGGATGCTACTTTAAGCTAGCGCCAATTTTAAACTTTTTTATTCCTCAATTATATGAAAATATTATGTATATATATTTATAACCACATATATATTAAGATAATATATATTATAAATATATTATAAAAACGTTATGTTAATAATAGAAATTAAGAAAGTATAGGGATATTATATACTGAAAAAGTATAGAATAATTTTAATTTTATTAGAAATATAATTACAAATATCCTAACTGAAAATTTATCTCGTTTGATCTCTTTCATATGGTTCCTGTTCCATCTCGTATTCAATTTCGACCCTTGGACGGACTCTCTTTTGCGATTTCTGTTTCCTGACAATTACTTTCTTCGCATTTTTACTGGTTGTAGGTACCAGATCCTATAATAACACGATAATTTTAAATGCAATCGTATTATAAATAAGAATAAAAGTAAAAGATTATAATATTAGTTACTTCAATATCATCATTGTCAGATACAAAGTCGTCAGATAATTCAATCTCCTCTTTTTGTCCTGAATCACTGTCCTCATCCTGTTAAAATGGATTAATTAATATTAAACAGAAAATGGCGATGTAACACTCAGTAATTCATATTTAAACGAGGATGATACATATATTTATATCTAAATGAAGGACAAATTACCATAGATACTTCTTGAATATCAAAATTATCGTCCTCATCTTCGTCATCAGTTTCTGCTTCTATGAAATGAGGTGTATTTGCCTCTCTTTCTCTCTCCTTCTCATCTGCTTCTAATTCTAACTCTACTTCTTTCTCAATTTCTTGTTCCTTTTCTTCTTCTCCTTCACTCTCAGCCTCACTTTCACCTTCAACTTCAACAGCTTCAACAGCTTTGTCAAACACTTTTTGTGGGAAATTGTAAACATCATTATACTGAAAGAAAAATGACGATGAAGAAGAAAATTTAGATATTAAAATTTATATGTATAATTATAAAGAGAAGAATGTGTACCATGCCCTGTTTTAATCTTTCCATAAGTTGTTTTTCTATTGCAGTTTCTAATCTGGCAGCTATAAGAGCCTTTTCTTCTCTGCGTCTTTCTCTCCTTTCAATTTTTCTTTGAATTGGTACAATTTGTTTTTGTCTTCTCAATCTTATTCTTCTCATACGTAAGAGGTATTGTGTAATTTTTATAAATCTTTGCTTGCATTTTGCTTTTATGAAACCAGGCCAATACAATAAATTTTCATTGATTTGCTGTATTGCTTTTTCAAAATTTCTGGAAAGCTTCACCCTTTCCCACGCATTCTTTGGGAAATGTATTCTATAAGGAATAGAATGTACAATTAATAATAATATTTGACAGTTTTGAAGGAATATAACATCTAAGTTAGATTTTTACCTTTCTGCTGTTCTCATGTATAAGTAAATAATACCATTTTCTTCCCTAACTGTAGCATACTGACTGTTTGCAAGAGGACAAGACGCTCTACTGCATAAACCCGTAAGATTATATTCATTGCGACAAAACCTCTGCGACTTTGTACTACAAAAGTAAAGAGTAAATTATATCACAATCACACAAAACCATTATTCTGCTTTTTAAGTCATACATACTTTACTTTAAAAGAACAGAAGGATTTATTGATGACGCTCCATACGACCTAAAACAATTTATCATTGTATGAAATATTAAAAATATAAGCAGTTTTTAATGTACTCACGTCGTCGTGCTGCATTTTGTTTTTATATTACTTTTATACTATATTTTATATATACTTTTATATTACTACGTTTTGTAAAGAGATATTGTAATAGTCATTTAAATGTTTACAAATTATACTTGTAAAAGAATACACGTGCATTCAAAGATTCTTGAACGATATAGGTTATACTTAATTCACCGCATGTAGTTCCTAATTCGTAACTGATGGCGCTACAGCTTAGAGCAGACATTTTTTAATTTAAACTACAAAAATTCATTCATATAAATATGTATACACTGGAATACATTATACACTGAATATATATATATATATATATATATATATATATATATACATATGATATTCATCAATGATACCAGTGATATAGCAGACGAAATATAGATGTACAGTATACGGTATTACAAGATTACAGAAACATTTTTTGACTCTTATTTTCGCAATCACTATTTATAGTTATCTAGATATAGTTAATGATGTTAATTAACAAATCAACATTTTGGCTATTGATTTCCAATAGATTCCATGAATAAAAATGAAGGGACGTCGTCCTTACGTGTTTTCGAAAAGATAAAACCTGATATACTAGTCAATACTGTTATAAAATTATATAGAATAGAATCGATGAATCAAAAATACAGGAACGACGTCCTTACGTGTTTTCGAAAAGATGAAACCTAACGTATTAGTTAATACTATTATAAAACTCAGTAAAAAATTAATCTGATTGATTTCCGATTATAAAATCTGCAATCTGGCAACGTTTTTTCAATGCGCTCGATTTTTAGAAATTCAGATTAATTTCAAGATACAGTACTCTTATTTTCACAGTAATGAAAATTTTTGCATTATTTAATATTATTATGAAGGTACATATAAAAATAATGATTAATGAAATCCGCAAAAAGGGAGAAGTAAATTTAAAATATTTGCAAACATTTTTATCACGTGCTTTATTGTTATGTATAAAGATGTGGATATGTATTTCTTACGTTTTAACAAAAGCATTAAGCAAAGTTAAATTCAGCTAAATATTATTAACATAAATTTATTAATCTTGAACTTAAATAACATTAATAATAATATAAAAATAAATTAGTCTTTTCACAATTTACAACATATTAATATATCAAGTATAACACACTCGTATATGAAATACAATGTAGAATTGAAATATTTTGTGTGTATAATTGAACAGAATTAACATAATGTTGATCGTACAGAATTAATAAATAATTTACATGTAGCTTATTAATAAATTATGAAAAACATTAAAGTTCCTAAATAATAAATAAATAATGTAAAAAATGTATAATAATATACAAAGACTAAAATAATAGAAATAATAAAATTTATATATATAGTTAACATTAATTTTGTTGCAATTTCATTTGCATGCTTCTTCTTTTGGGAATCTACATAGATTCGAGTCGATTGTAGCACAGATGAAGTATTTGCAGTTACTTTCAACATTCCACTGCTGAGCAAATAGGAGAGCATGGAGGATACTTATCTCGAATAAATTTGCCTCTACTATTTTTATTTCTTAACATGCGACTGAACAATTTTAATGAAGCATCTTCATGCGCGGAAAGTAATATTACGCAGAATCGCATAAATATTTTCTTTGTTTTAGGTCTTTTACTACATTCTATAAGTCTCCACCCTTTTTCTCAGGCGTACAACTCGTTATTTTAATGCCTTGTTTTCTTTTACTATAGAGATTAGCTTTATTTTAAGATTGTCCAAGTTCTTCTTTGTATTTTGTGGGGTGTTTTCATAGTTATGATCATGGAGAACTATTTCATACGCAGTTAGAGATTGGTCCTTCTCCATTGGATTTGCGCCCGTTAGTGTATTATATGAGAAACAATTCTCATTAACTGCAATAAGAAATAATGTTCAGTATTGTATGTAGAGGTTTTAGTCCTGGAATATTAACATTTTATATCACACCAAGTTGGATCATTCATTAACATCTCCCATAGATGATAGAACCTTGGTTTTTACAATAATGCATCTAGGTAGAAAGATATATCCATACTTTGGGCATTGTGTGTAATCGAAGTAAGTAGTATATTTGAAACTTATTTCAACTTACGTATCTCTTTGTCACTTCTAGGAGAATCAATCATTTTATAGCAATACTTGGTTCAAGAACTTTTTTAATTGTTGAAGATGATGCAAAGACACCTTCACTTTTATCTGGAAACAAAAATCATACATATGTGTATATATATATATGTCGGAGATAAGAGGACACCGGTGCCTTCCCTCTGAAACCTCGGGAAAATCCATAAAAACATTGTAATTAAAACCTACGGTTGTAATTAAACGATTTGCCATCATTTTACCCAATTGTATTTGTTTGAGACTTGTGACAATGAGCTTGGGCTCGACAAGGAGCTTGGGCTCGAGGCGACAGTTAGTCGCCGAACGTGGCCGCGGTCAACGGGACGAACTCTCCATCTAACAAAGGCATTGAGTAATCCTATAGCTCTATAAAAGAAAGATTTGTAGCAACACGTGGCAGTAAACATTCCAACGGTTTCTGTCCCGTAGCTCGCCACACGCAGATTCTCCGGGCAGGATGTTTACCAGATGCCGACACGTCTCCGTAGTACGCGATCGACTAGCCCGAGGACCGTTATAAACACTAATATCTAGTTACCTAAAATCCCTCAACAGATACACAGTCTTTGTCCCAGTTACGGG